TTCTTCCCAATTAATTGGCACTTTTCTGAAACGTTTTCTATCTAGTGCCCTTGTCTTATTTCGAGCTTTTTCATAAATCATGTACCAAGTAGCCCAATTAAAATTGTGTTGTAATTGGTACCCTTCTTTCGCTTTCTCTCTTTACTCTGAACTCACTTAAACGGACAATTACACCCCCCAATAAAAGTTTTCATTTTTTGCCAGCCGATTTTTAATGGTGTCGAAAGACTACCAAAATAATATTTTGCAGCAGTCACATATATTTTTATTAAAGCCAAAAAACGCAACTGCTCAGAACCGAAACTGAAACCCTCGCACGGAGGTCGGAGAAGTGGAGAGGAGAGAGTGAGTGGGCGGAAGTCACGTGGCTACACCCGACCGTGAGCTTTTTTTGTTTTCCCCTCCGTGTTTTTTTGTGTGCATAGCAGACGACATGCGTGGCTGGAACTGTTTGCTATGCGATTCTTTTGCAGTTATGTTTGTTCCACTCTCTGTTCTGTACTTCAAGATGAGGTGTTCTTTACATTGAGAAGTTGGAGACGAGTAGTGAGTGCCCGTGGTGAATTTCTTTGATGGGCTTTGAAAAGAATACCCCCAAGATGTTGCGTGAAGAGCTGCCTTGCATGTCCTGCGTCCGAAAAAAAGTGGCATTGTGCGGCAGACGTCTGTACAAGTTTCCGAAAGATCAATGAGATCGGGACCAATGGCTGGCTGCATTTCCTGTAGAGCATTTCTTTCTATTTCTAGGTTCACCTTTGCCATGGTGTCTTGGTGGAAAAGGACAAACTGTTCTATGTGAGGGGAGCCCGGGGAGACTCCATGTTCGTTAAAAAGGCCACGAAGTTGATCTTCGGCAGGGAGAACCTGCATGGGCGGAGTGTGACTGGAGTGCTATGCCGGCGCTTCAAGGGCGCTGTCGCCGAGAGGGCCCTGACTCCAGTCAAGTTGGCAGCAGTAAGTGCCCACTTCTCACAGATGTCTCATACTTGGTGAGCCACTCAAACCTTTTGGCTTCTGAAGTTGCAACCTGCTACGACAAAATTAATGTGATAAAATATTCCAAGGCTTTCAGAACTTTCAGTGTTATAGGCTGTTGAAAGGTCAGGGTTCGACTAGTTCGAGCTTTAGGAACGTGAAGCTCTGAGCGCAAAACCGAAATGAAGAAGCCCTACCTCCCTCTTTGTTTTTAATATATGAAGAAAAGTAAAGTGACCTTGTCACGGTCATCTAGGTCCCTTGGTGCTTTCTGATGTATTCACACTAAGGAGGTTTTACAGTAACATGCTCCGCATTGCAAATATCTGCTAATCCCTGCAAGTTTTGGGGGATGTCCATGATATCAGTGGCCTGCTTGCAGGACCTTCTGCTGAGGCACTTATTTTTTCTTTTGAACGAAAAGCTGGCACTAGCAAAGTTGTGAAAGTGAGTCTGTTTGTTCACTAGAACTGCTACAACCGAACTATGTTTGACTCTGCCCTTTGAGTACTGCCCATTTTTTCTGAACCGCCTTCTGACCGTGGGTGTTCCTCCTTTCTAGTGCTCGGTTTTCTTACCAGGGAACTATCTCGTATGAATAGACCATTGAAGGGTCGTAACACGGATATTAAATTAGTTAAATGGTTCTTGATATCAAATCTGTGTTGTCAATTTATATACATACCCAGAACAACAATTGCAGGTCAAAATCTTTCTTTCGCACTAAAACTGCCGGTCGAGAATTGTGTGTTCAGTGTTCCTTTTACTTGTTCCCATGGTGACATTGTTGGGCATGAAATAAGTTAGAGGTTGTAGGCAATCAGGCCCGTGTTCATAATTGAAAATACATATTTAGATTTATAGAGCATACTTTTACTTAAGTTAACAGGCAGGCGAGCTGGTTAACGATAGACGTGGTTACCCGGGAACGTGGGGAAAAAAAGGGACAGACAGACACAAAGCTCTGGAGCTTCGTGTCTTTCCGGTCCTTTTTGTCCCCTGCTCCAAAATCTATAATTTTCATAAACACTGAAATGCAAGGAACACACTGTTGCAAGCAAACTTTAAGTGCATAGTTGTGGAAAGTCACACTAGGTCTTTTCGATTTGCTTGAACTGGCCGATTAAGTTCAAATAGTGTAAGAACTGACTCATTAGATTCAACCGGAAGTTGCATGGACGCTGAACTGGCCTGTTCGATTTATTCCAGTGCTGCACGAGCTCAGCCTCAGTTCCACAGAATCTTGCGCTGGCTGAAGTCAGTTCAGCGTTCATGCAGTAACAGATGGCAACTCTTCGGTCTTTCGGAAACCAATTACAGGGTCGTTTGTAACGCTACAGCTTAAGTTCACGCAGCCGCAGCCCGAGTTGCGCACTGCTTCTGCACTCCTCTGAACTCGGTCTGAACTGGTTCAAAACTTTCGGCCCTAATCATGCATGCCTGCTGTTTTAAGCAGACTGCGTAATCGTAAGAAGTTACTCTTGGGGTCTACATGGTATCACAAGATATTAACAAAGCATAAATTGTAGCGGAAATTGCTTACTTATAATTGCAGGAAGTAAAATAATAAATTTTTCAGGAAACTGTAGATATACATGACTTGTTGTTGTATTCTTTTCCCCTGCAGATGCCTTCAACGAGTACCTATGGAGGCATCCTCGAGAGGCCTCTCCAGGGAAGAGGACAGCTCGGGTCAATCTACTGCAGTATGCAAATTTGTTAATATCCTACTGCAGGATATTAACTAGAAGTTTGACTTCTAAGCTTGCTTAGAGGTCAAGATTCTTGTTGGTGTTCTGCAGATGCAAATTTGCGTTCACTAAATACACGTATAACCTGAAATGACCTGGCTCATGCTCATTCTTTGCATGACAAATGCATGCGAATTGTTAAACCTGCAAAGATCCATCCATCCGTTTGCAAACGTTGGACACCATGTTGATTCCTATTACTGCGTCAGAACGGATAAACCTTTAAAGATATAGGTTTGTCTATCTGAACAGATCAACATGCATAAATATTGGTTCCTATATCTAAATGGGTCAACGTGTACGGTACGGGTTCCTATATCTAAACGGGTCGACCCGTACATGCACGGTTTCCCTTACCTAAACGGGTGAACCCGTACAGGTACGGGCCCCGTATCTGAACGGGTTCCTGTATCTGAATGGGTCAACCTGTACAGGTACGGGTTCCCAGTATCATACGGGAGACCCGTATCCCATAACACCGTATGAGATATACGGGTCAACCAGTATGAATTTTTATACGGGTTTTTTCAGTAGGGGAATGACCCTAAAAAGTTCTGAAAAGTTAGTAACCCTAAATCTGATACTGCAATGACACTTGAAACTTATGGTGACATATTGGTTCAGGATGACGAATGTGCCACATTACTGAATGATGCTTTTTGTTTCATATTTACGAAAGAAAATATCGAAGCCTTTTTTCTCCACTTCCCGCTATTCCTACTCTCATGTCTGGATTTGTGTTTGTACCCACAGGCAACGCTAAACCCATTGACAAACTTAACATCTCTTCATCAACAGGCATAAATAACGTGAATGCAAAAATTCTAAAAAAAACACGAAAGACTTGGTTAGCGTGATATCAGCTAAAATATTTTCACAATCTCGTTCAAGTAGTCTTCTGCCTGATGACTGGAAAGTGACGAAGATTCTCCCCATTTCACTATCGACCCATCTCCCTAACAAGCGTATCATGCAAACTAATGGAGCATATTATCTACACAAACATCATTCAATTTCTGTCAGACAACTCTTTCATCAACCCATCCCAGCACGGCTTTCGAAAAGATTTATTCACGTCAAACTTAACTTGTATCGTTTACTCATGACATACATGTTAACCTTGATTCGAAAATTCAAACTCACGCTATCTTCCTGGAATTTGCGAAAGCATTTGATGAGGTTCCTCGTAGACGTCTCATATACAAGCTTTCTAAACTCAACTTAGATTCCTCGATTCTGAACTGGATCATTAACTTTTTAACTAACAGACAGCAACATGCCGTACCCAAACGTCAAAACTTGAAAGTTTAAAACGGCATGGACGAGGACGGGGACAGGACATCTTCCGACCTCGACTTCGTTGTTTCATACTTTCAAGTTTTGTATCTATTAACCAACGCGCTCGATTTTAATTGTGACTTTAAAATGTCAGGCTGGCGATTACCACTGTGCAGTGAACAATATAATTAAATTCTTAGTGGGAAATGCACCTCTTTAAGCTTCATACATGGCGTAATTAAGTTTCCACATTATGCATTCACATATAGTCGTGCTTTGCACTAAACTTTTTAAGTGGTGGCCAACTCGAACTTTAATGACTCAAATTAGCCATTAAACCACCATAATCAAACCATAAAAAATAGACGTCCCTAAATACGACAGGTCATTCGACCATCAGACCATTAGACTATCAAACCATCAAACCATCAAGCCAACAGACCATCAAACCATCAGACGTCCCAATATACGACTCATGAGACCATCCCCTGGGCCCGTTTGCTCGAAGCTGGTTAACTCTAACCGCGGTTAAAAGTCAACCGCGTTTCCCTACCTAGGTACATCCGAGTACCTAGCCGCGTTCGACAAAAACTCAACGCACAATTTCTCCGTGTTTTATTATTATGCGGTAGCTCCCGCCACCTTCCGGTCGAAGCAAACAATAGCCTTTTAAGAAACGTTTTTGCTAGTTTTGTCTTTATTAAGAAAAATAAAAACAACATCGTATCACAATGTTTCTTTTTATGCATGAAAATATATATGTACTTTAAAAAAATAATAAATATCTTGATGCATCTATTGTGCCGCCAAACACAGCATAAGTTTGCAGCGTTGATTTCGGATCTGGCAACGGTCTTTATAGATTCGTTGTTTTCGTTGTTTTGTTCTCCGTGTTTTGCGACGCACGTTTCCCGCGCTTTAGTTATCACCTGATTTTCACTGTTTGTCTTCTCCTGCCGTTTGCCCAACCGACCCTCCGACTCGCTGGCCGACTGACTACCGGACTGACTGACAACTGATTTGCGGACGGATTGGTGAAGATAAGGGACGCAATGTCGACTGTGACGCGACGCCGACATCGAAGAGAGCGCGTGTTCGCCCAGTACGCTGTTGTGATGATGGGACGGCAGCGTGTGTTCCGTGACCGCTTGAACCCTTTGGAGGAGTTCGATGAGGACGAACTGCAGGAGCGCTTTCGATTCGGTCGCGCGGGCATTGTGTTCCTCGCCGACACACTGCGCCCGGACTTGGAGCGGCCGACGCGTCGCAGCCGCGCCCTCTCTGCAGAGCAGCAGGTCATTGTCGCCTTACAGTTCTACGCCACGGGGAACTTCCTCATCACCGCAGGGGACTACATCCGTGTGCACGTCTCCACTGCTTCGCGGACTGTGAGGCGGGTGACTCAGGCCTTGGCACGTCGTGCCCGAGACTTCATAGGGTAAGTGGTCTGGAGCATCTCTGGTGCGTCCCGATATTAGGCGCATGTGCAGGCCAGTTTTCCGAGAAAAAAAGCCTGGGCCTAGATTGCTCGATGAGCAATCACCATTATTTCAGAAACCCTTTGTATAGAAATTTCGGTGCGTGAATTGTGTTCGCTGAAACCCCCGAATTCGTTAAAGGTGGTCTTCTCCGCACACCTATTCTGCAATTTATTTACGGCGCACCACCTGCGCAATGACCCTTTCGTTTTTGTTTCCTAAGCTGTAGGCTTGCTAGCCTGAATATCTGCCAGCGCATCGACCCCCACGTATACTGGTACCTCCCTAAAGGATCATTAAAAGTGTTGCTTCAGCACTCGATATTTGTTTTTTGGTAATGGGCGTGACATGCAGACCAGTGAACTGGGCAGTAAAATTACACGAACCAACTGGAGTGTACAAAATGACTCCCTTAGTACCTAATATTGGTGCAGGTGCAAATTCCACTGATCTACAAATAAAGTAGGAGTGCAGACATTTACAAACAGCCTGGTTTCTGCACTCCCAACTATGCACTTGATGCTACTGAGCTAGTCTTGCGGCTACTGAGTACTGTCATTGTGCAGACGAGGCTTTTATTGCTCACTATTGATGACGATGAATGATAGCTGTGTTATTTTGAAGCATGTGATCATAACAACAAAACTGTCACTGTTAATGTCATAGTGCTACAGACTGACTCAAATCCATCTACAATGCAGGTGGCCAGGTGAAGCTGAGGGTCATGCCTTACAACAGGCCTTCTTTGAGATCGGTGGGTTTCCTTCGGTCGTGGGTGCTGTTGATGGCACTCACATTCGGATACAGGCACCACAAGTGCATGAGGAGGTGTACGTTAACCGCCATCTGTACCATTCAATAAATGTACAGTTAGTGGTTGACGTCTTTTACCGTATCCGCAATGTGGTTGCAAAATGGCCTGGAAGCACCCACGACTCTAGGATATTCACCGAGGGCTCGTTGTCAGGCAAGCTGGCCGATGGCGTTTACGAGGGCCTACTGCTTGGAGACAGCGGCTACACCTGCAAGCCATGGCTGATGACGCCCTTCCTGTCTCCGTCATCAGCAGCGGAGGTCGCCTACAATGCGTCACATAGCACAACGAGGAGCATCGTGGAACGGTAAAGCCAGGCTATGCGTCCTGGTTCGACGGTTCAGTGTTTCGGTACCTTGAGGCACCTAACCTTTTTTATGTGGTTGTGCCTGAGCTTTACATTTGTTGCCATTTTTATGTTCTTGCATAGTAGGCTACGGCTGCTCAGAAGCAAGGAGAGGAAGGCGTATCTCTACTACACCTTATTTATACTACGGGCTATAACCTACTGCCATAGCCTGAAATGTTTATTCTGAGGTTAGCCAGCATTGTGGGAATGAAGAACATCAATTCACGAAATTCAACCATTAGCCAGTTAACTCTATATGTCACAATAATTGTTATATTTCATTTGCTCTTTTCTGTTTAAACTCTAGAATAGAAGTTAGAACTTCTCTGAAACATATCCTTCCTGTATGACTGGGTTTATTAACCTACAGGTTTTTACTAGCTGTTTACACATTTCAAACAATAGCAGTTAATTTTTTTTGTTACTCTATATTGCCTAAATGTAAAGCAATTCTTAGGAAAAAAAAACAGCTTGCAATGTGAAAAAAAAAAAACACTGGCTTAGGCAGGTTTTGTTTTTAGACAGTTTGTGTACAGACTTATTCAAGCATATCTTAGTAAATACTGCTTATCTCAAACTGCAATTTTCCTTGCAAGTTTTTGCGAAGAACATTTTCATTATATCTGTGATGGGATTGCTGCGCCATTTGCGCCAAAGTGATTACCCTGCTACGTCCTGCTACATTTAACAAAAATGTGAGGAATTTGCACCAACGTAGCACCAAAACTTATTTTCATTTTAATAATACTGAAAATATAATAGCTCGGGCTTCGCTGCCCGGCCGGACCGTCACGATATGCTTACGCAAGTTTTCAGGTTTTCAAAACTTTTGATTATAGTCTCGTATACGATACCATTCCATCACATTTCGTATGAATGACAGGCAATATCTGGAAGTTTCGCAATAATTTTTTATGTTAGTCGTCTGTTCATTCTGGAGGGTTAGCTATAGTCCGTTGCAACCTAAGAACGAAGGGCGAGGGTAAGACAGGCCGGGGAGGAGGAAGCAGACGGAACGCTAGAGAAGAGAGGGGGAAACCTCCTTCTCTCTTTAGCGTTCAGCCTGCTTCCTCCTCCCCAACCCGTCTTACCCTCGCCCTTCGTTCTTAGGTTGCAACGGACTATAGTGTCGTTGAATGCGCTTTTCACCACGCACCGGTGTACTGCAAAGAAGCAAACACCACGGAGTAGGCATCGCAACTTTGCATGTCTTGCTTCTCTGCAGCGGACCCTGTGTTAAGGAGAAAGCTCTCCTCCAAAGTGAGACTCAACACAATTCCTGAACACAACTTCGGCTCATAAATATGATGGATTACAAGATCCTGGCGGCACCTTTTTCGATTTCGAGATTTAGTAAGGGTACTTTGGTATTGCAAGAGCATTTATATATGCTCTTATGCATGTTTATTTATTTATGCCAACTCATTTGTTTAGCTATCAATTTTCTGTAGGTGCGAGTAGATTAGAACTAAATTGACAGGAGCAGTGGATGAAATCTCAGGAAGAGCCTGAATGAGTTCGGCGGGTTTGTTTTTAAGTTTCGTTCACATGCCGTTTTTGCTCTGAAGTTCTACAGATAAAATGTAATTTATGTTGATAATCAAATGATAATTGCTTTGTTTTTTTATCTCATTTATAAATTGCAGTTTTATTACAACCTCTAGAACTTGAAGGAAACATCAGTTTATGTGACCAATGTTATTGTACTAATTTAGTGGCATTCAGTACCTAAAATAACCATTTAAAGGAGTTTGTGCTGTCCTTCATCACTCACCTTCTTGTTACCCTGTCATGGTGCTTCTCCACGCAACTGAACGCTATAGTTTTGTGTTTGAGGAACTCTTGCTGCGCAGTTGATGCTAACAAAGGTTTGAACGTATGTGAGAAGGCAACGTAGACTTTGCCCTTTAGTTGGACAGGCCGAAAAATTAATCTTGACGTGATGTTTGCATTGGTATCAATAAAAATGAATGTGCGCTTATGCTACAAAAGTTCTTTTTGTTGCACCATAATTGACTTTTGACTGCTCCAAGGGCTGCTCCAAAATGACTCAGACCAATCACATCACTGAAATCTTTAACAAAATCTGCATTTCATTACTATGTTAAAATATTCCAACAAAAATATTAACTATTAGGCATAATACCATGTTTTCGATGGGCTGGAGCGATGATAGACATCGCATGCCGATCTCATTAGATGTTCTTATAAACCACTTCAAAAGGATAACAGATCTTGCTTTATTTATACACTGTGCAGGACAATAGGCCAGCTCAAGCGGAGATTTCATTGCCTCCATGCTGAGTTGAGGATGCAGCCAGAGAGATGCTGCGACATCACTGTTGCCTGCTGTGTCCTGCACAACCTGGCCAAGACATATCCCTGCAGCATGCCAAGGACTGTCCTCCCCGAAGAGGTTCCCGTCAAGCCCGTGGCAGCGGGCCGTGATGAAAGCAACGAGGCTCGGGATGCCATCGTCAGCCAGTTCTTCGGTTGAGCGTAAGTATACCAATATATTGCACATGCTGCTTTGCATGGTCTTGAGTACCAGTGCATTCTGCTTGTTTTTAATTGATCAAACATTGGAATACCAAATGTTGTTTCTGCGTTAGGTTGGAAGAGAGTGGAATTTTCGCCCACGCCGTCCCCACATATTACGCTTGACTACTGCTGCCGATTACCCCGGCGCAGCGGGAACACGAATACCATAGGCTATGGTTCAGGGAGATACGAAGATAAATTAGGCAAATGATAAAATTAGCCAGACGATCTTCCGATGAGCACATGCAAGGCAGGCTTTTAGTCTTAGCGGCAACTGAGGCGCATACGAGGCTGACGGCGGTACGGACAGAGCACACGGAGATGGATCAGCAGTCAAGATTCCTTGAGCGTCGCAACTATTCGTGCTGTGACAAGGAACTAGAGCAAAAACCCTGCAAGCAGGCGGAGCCGCCGTTAGTTCTCGATAAGCAGATGAAAACTTGTCTTCGCATGACACGTTTCGGCGCACCGATATGTTTGACGGAGCAAATATACCACATGGTTTCAAACAGGCTCGTGATTGGACCCGGCGGCGTGTAGCATTGGGCTTTAGTCCATCGTAGGACGAGACAGAGTATAGCAGATCTGAATCTAGAAATATACAGTTGCAGGTAAAATGGATTTTATTTATCAGCAGCTGTGTTGGCTTTGTCATATATATATACATTCAAAATGAAAATTAAAAACAGCGTAATATGTCAATGTTTACTCTTCTCCTAATTGTTTTTTTAGCAATTTGATTTCCAATTCTGCACGCTGTGTTTCCAGTTGAATTACATTTTTTTGGTCCTCTAGTAATTTTTTTGACTGCTGGTAGAACTCCTCGGCAGCAGTTGCTGCTGCAATTGTTGCCGTGGCAGCTTGCTTAACCATATCTGTGCTCTCCTTCTCCAGCAGGAGATTAGCTCCCTCGAGCTGCTGCTGCCTTTCTGTCTCCTGCAAGAAGCGCTGTGAAGCCTCCCGGCACCAACGTCGGCTGTATGGCACATTTGTTGGAGCCCGCTGCACCGCCTCCAGCGGCCGACTCTCGTGCAGCACTGCCGCACTTGCTCCGCTCCCAGAGGGACCAGGCTGTGGATCTATTCCCCTGGAGCTGTCACTGCGACAAATTCATGTGTAAAAAGTGGTCAGGTTTTGTTCTTGTCAGCATGGGCAAAGAGAACACACTGTGCAAAGTTTGTAACCCTGATAAAGACACCGATGCTGCGCCAAAATTCATTCATACGGGTTGGTACAGAGGACAAAGTTTGTGAGCCAAGTTGGTTTATACACTGACGCACAGGCTTGAGGTCGGAGCGCAGTGTTGTTACTTCTTGCACAATTGCCCAGTACATGGTGTAGGAAAATGTGCATTTGGTTGTGAAGAGCATTTGGTTGTGAAGAGCACACAGCTGCATTCTGAAGGTTAGAATGCAGCTGTGTAGCTATGCGATTAACAGTTCATAAATTTAGTGGTCACATGTCCAGTCAAACCACAATGCACTGCACATTTATAGGACAACTTCAAACATTACAGCACATAGCTTCACTGGTATTGATTTCACTCACACAGGTTACCATCATGGGGGTAGTTAACTTCCCGACCAGAATGAAGTTAATGTTTGAGCCAATTTTCCTAAGTTGGTAAAACAAGCAACAGGATGGTTGTACTGTGTGTGATCTTTTAATTTGCATATTGAAAGCGTGCTACAGTTAGCATTAAAAAAAAGCCGTTGCCACTTTGTTGCATTTAATTTCTATAAGATGGTAATAAACAGCTTTACCACCTGATTTCTCATTGCATGCCGTGTTATTGCATGAATTTGTAGCTTCGGTGAAACTGTTTCAGCCTTGTTGAAAATAATTAGAAATGTGGTAGCGCTGGTGCCTCGTCAGATCTTAGAGTGCACTCTGGAAGACGGTTTCGTGACTTATATTTCGAACCGCCTTTGAGCTTTTGTTGTTGAAATAGAACTGAAGCCAGATTCCCGGAACTTTCTTACGACAAAAAAGTTAGTAAATTTATCTTATGACAAATTTACGAACTTTTAAGTATTCCCGAAGCACAAAGATCGTAAGTTTTGCGCAAGCTACGGATTTCGTCAGAACTTGCGCAAAACTTACAAACATTTTGCTTCGGGAATACTCAAAAGTTTGTAACTTTGTTGTAAGAAAGTTTCGGGCATCCGGCCTCTGGTCTTTATATAAAAGTACTCGGCAGTCATGCCATTCAAATGGCAACATGCCCATCTTCTTATCATCATTTGTCCTCGTCTTTTAGAACCTCGCCTGGAACGACAGTTCTGCATTACTGTGACCGGTTCCTTAAAACCATTTACTCTTCACACAATCGGGTCTAGAAACCAGTCACCTACTCTTCCGTGTCACCTATGGTGGCCTCCAACCCGCACAGGTTGGGCGAGTCCTCGCCGATCACTTCGAGGACGACCTCGACGAGGGGCGTCAGGACGTGGGGGTTTGGCCCAGCACCTATGAATTAAGGCGTAGTAATTTCGTCTCGACTCTTACTCGAGTTACGAGCAAAAACAGAGGAGGTGGGGTTCACTGTTCAACCAAGTATGTAAATGGAACTTTCATGGGAAAATTAAAATAAACAAATACTGCATGAGACATTCATTAACTGCTAGATAACACTGCTGAAACTGTGGACTGTGTAATCGTGCAACTTTTACTTTCTTACAGTTTGGCCTGTCGGCCTCTACCATTGTGCTCTCTTATAATCTGTTTTAATATTTTGTCCGAAGTTTTGGGTCTTCCACTGAACTGTTTTACAAGTTCCATACAGCCTGTGCAGAACTTGTACATAAACTGGAATAAATTGTTTTCTGATGCTGTAACACTGCTTTTGCTGCTGTTCAAGGAAGGTGAAAAGTCGACTCCCAGCAGAGGGCAAAGGTGAACGAATATACAAATGTCCACATTCACGTTTCTAGGTTTGGTTGCTCATGTATTATCACTATAGCAATGCAATATCTTTTGAACTTAAGAACACAATGAACTTACCGGTGCGCTGTTCATGCTTCTTGAATAAGCTGTAGAGTTGTCTAGTCTTTTTTAGGAGGTTTCTCCAGCACTGTTGTAGCTGGTCTGGGGTGCGCAAACAGCCCATGGCTCTGTAAATTTCGTCCCATGCCTGCCTTTTTGTTTGGGTCGTGACCGTAGCACTGAACTTGCCCATAATTTGATGTTTCCTCTCCCCCACTGCCCGAATTAGTTCTAATTGTTCATCCAATGACCAATTCCTCTGCCGTTTCATGGTGATGCTTGCATTCGCCTGACTCATTTTAGATTTCAGATTGGTTGTGATCGTCTGCTACGTAATTATGTCTCTCTTTATAATCCTAATAAGACATCTAGTTATCTGAAACAAAATAAATTGAAGAAGGACAAGCGCAAGAGAAAATATGCACACTTCTTTTCCGATAGAAGCTTTGTTTATTTTCCAGTTGTACAAGTTCGCAGACGACAGTACCGAAGTTCGATCGAATGCCGTGCCGGCATCCGTGCCGGCAGCTTCTGTTGAGGTAACGGATCTTTGCTTCTGAGGGAAGTTTTTAGTTTGCATCTTGCCTTCGTTGAACCGTTTCCCGCTAAAGGGGGTCGTCGGTGTTGTGGATGCGCTGCAAATACAAAGCACGACGAACTGTACTATAAACCAGACTCCGCGATTAGAGGCCGTTTTTCGGAGAGAGATTTGTTGCACTAACATGCGATTGGGGCTCGAGGTAGGTTTTAAAAGTGAAAAAAAGAAAAGAAAGCTGGACGTTGATTACAACGCAAGTTCTGCTGACATGAAATTTTGATAGCGGTACAATCTCATAACTTTCTCGTGAAACATCGCGGCACTTACCTAGGATATACGTTTTGAAGCTCCCGCTGACTGTAGCATTCAATAAAACCAGTCCACTTCAGAGGGCGGTGCGTGATGTTATTCAAACTCGACGAAACCAGTCAGGCGTGGCCCTGCTCCCACAGCATGCTCGCCGTCAACTCCGACAGTAGACTTTGTGTTGAAATGTCCTTTTCGTGACACGAGGATGACGCATCTTCGTAAAAATAAATGTTCCCAAGCGTGACGAGCGGCCGTAGCAGCCATATTGAACATATTGTCTGATGCTAGGTACTATTTTACTCCGGCGTCCCTACTCTGCAGGTCACGTGACCTAAAATTCCCCTCGTAGGGAAATCCGGTTAACCGCGGTTAGTTAACCAGCTTCGAGCAAACGGGCCCAGGTAGCACACTTGCTTGGTTTAGCTGGGGCCAGTGTTAGCTCTCGGTTGTGATAGCTTGGCCACGACTGCCCAGCCATTTACGTATGTATGCCAGCCTGGCGTTTCATAGTCTTTCCTTGCTCCAGAAAGCCACGGAACTGCGAGGGAACGCGTTGCCTGGTTGACCAACCAATTTCCTTGGTCATTGATGGCCAGTGTAAACAGGCCGCTGCCAGTATTTGATATACCCTGGCTGTCTATTGATTTTTTGCGGTCAGAGATGGCCAGGGTAGCAATGCCTGTGCCAAGCTTTGGCATTCCATGGTAGTTCGCAGGAATTCCCTGGTCCGCTCAACACAAGCAACAGCCAATATTCGGGCATGTTGCCGGATTGAAGATAGGATGAGCCAAAAAATGTCAGGGAATTGCCGCTATGCAATGTTCCGTGTCTCTAGCTCGTATTTTATCGGACCCAGAATGTCCGCTGAAAGCCACTCTTACTCTATAGTTCGTTTAACTTTTTCCATTTTTTTTTTTCAAATTCGTATAAGCGTTCTCTTAACATATTTTTGGTGCTTTGTGGCAAGAGCTCTCGCACTAGAAAGTGACGTTTGAGTGCGAGAAGTCTGTTTTGGCTTGAGACATAAAAAAGAACACATTTTCCCCATTGAAAAATAAAAAAAAACTATTTGAAAGCAGTTTGGATATGAACAGGCCAAACCCGAAATGAACTGGTTGTAGTGG